TGTCTATCATTATCTCAAAACATTTTATGATGTCTGGTTATCGGTGTTTACAATGCGGTGTGGACAATGCGAACATAAATATGAATTTTATGGGCTACTAAATTTTGGAAAACCTAAGCAAATAACAGTTATAAGAGGAAATGTATTACATATGCAAAGTTATAGCGAACAAACAAATTGTTAAGAACTCAAACGCTTACATTTTTTTTAATTGGTTTTCTACATGTTTATAAAACTAAACACATAATATGTTCTCATTTGAAAAAACGAAGTCCATACTTGTAAGAAAAAGAGTATCTTACATTAGATGGATCATCCTGTGTATACGTATATATATAATAGTTAAAGAGAAATAACTTTCGCAGCAGTCTAATAACGTTCGTGGTCATCGAATACCGTCAAAAATAATAATATATTAATATATCATATCATGATATAAAAGCACAGTTCCTTTTATGGTTTGCGGTGGAAACACAAAAACACTCCTCTCTTTATAATTACACGTCAGTTTCCTCTCGATGCGCTTCTCGCCGACGTTAGCTCTGTCACAGCTGTCACGATATCGTTCTTTGCTCGTTCAGAAAAGTACCAAAAGTCTTATACGAGTTATTATTTTCAATTGTTGACGATTGTACACTTGTATCATAACATCGTTGTCACCGTTAAAAAAACGAACAATTTGTATTCAATTTCAACAAAGTTGCATTTATATTAACCCTTTGAAAACTGTGTGGACGTAAGAACTACTGGCCATAAACATTTCAAAGTTTAATATCTAAGTCTATATAGTTTTTTTTAATTTTTTACTTTTACACAGGCTTTTGAATGACTTCCAAAAACCAGTCAGTATATAAAATGGGAAAAAATCTATTTTTTTGCAGTTCAGGAGATTAACAATGAAAAAAAATGTAGTACTGAAAGGGTTAAAAGTAAAGTAGTGTAAGTAAAGTAAGTAGTGTAGGGCGTCATAAAAATCACCCGGTATAACACGATTTTGAATGAAGAATCAAAACACATTAATTTTATAATTTCCGATTTTTCTAGCAGAAACCAAATCTGGACTTTTACGCTTAATTTGTTTGTAAATCGTCGAAAAATTTGAGAAAACCCGTTAGTGATAGAAATGTTTTTCTTTGCATTTTTCTACTCATTAAATAATATGTTGATAACTTGGTATCACATTTTATACCGTAAAGTGTGTAGAAAGAACACTATACCCAATAACATAATAGAGAAGTGATCTTTTAATTATGTGCACTTTCTTTTTAACTACCCTATGCTAGTCTATTAGAACTAAATTCTCCAAATCCCTTTCAGCCCTTTCTCGGTTGGCTGGATCCGGTTAACGTTTTACTATTCAAACTGTGTACCTTGCTACAAAAAAAAAGCACTGATTGATTGACAACTCAAGTGATACGCTTGTACTCGTGAAAGGATTGTTTCAGAAAACACACTACCACCTGCACACTGCACATACAAATAAACAAAATATAACACAATAAATTATTTTTGGCTTTGGCGAATTCATCGCCCTCCTTGCACATAGCTAATCCAATTGTTGGGAGCAAAATTTCTCGCCCGGCCATAATGAATGGCAAAAACATTTTGATATTATCACCGCGAATAAGCTGCTGCTGTTGTCCGTACGGGGTAGTGTGACCGATGAAGATTGATAGGCTAGGGTAGACCTTTAACCCGGTACGGTTTTAGGTTCCCCTACCAGTCTTTTCATTCTATTTTGCCGGCTTCCATTTTTATCCCGCGGGATCGTCCTCGTTCTGTTTATAAACATATATATATTATACATATATTATATTATTTATACATGTATTTTTTTTATCTCGTTATGATTTAGCCCTTTCTCGTCACGCGGATTTGAATAGCCTAGCGTCCAATTTTTGAAAAAGAGGAAACTTTTTTTTTTAAGTGCCATTTACAGTTACTTAAAAGAGACTCCAGAGCTGTAAAAGTATAATAGATAGGTATATAAAACTAATCAAAATATTGACAACTTAAAACAAGATACTTAAAGCTAAAATGTGACACTTCAAAATCACTCTCTTGATATTTAATGACTAAAATTGATTTTATCTAGTTACAGTTGATTGAAACTGATAAAATTATCTACTTACTAAACAAAATTTTATCGCGAAACAACAAAAGAGGGATTTTCAAGTATCATTTTTAGTTTTGACATTTGTTTTTATATACTATTACTTCTTATATAAATAATATATTATTACTTTTCAAGTTAAAAACGTTTAATGAAGCATTACAATTTCCTATATTAATCAAATACAAGGAAAACAGAAAACAAAATATGTTAAAAATACAGATATATATTTTATGTAATGTTAAACTGGTAATGAAAATGTAATACAATTTCTAAGTTTATTTTGTTGAAAGAAAAAACCTCGCATTCATTTCTATACATTATCATTTTTTTTTCTAAATTTAAATATTGTGCGATTTATATATTTATAAATTATATGAGGTCTCTTAGTTTAGTCCGATAAAATGTTGTCCTTTGTCACAATATTAGGGATTTTACAGTTGAACGCGATTAGCCCGGAGAAACAACATTATTTCTGTTGTGAATTTTTCGCATGTGTTAACACAGAACTAAGAGCGATGAGAAATTGCACTTTAGATGAATCGTCATTCTCGAGTTAAGACAAACTCCTTGTAGTTGTTTGGGACGTCCCGTTATAGTTAAGGCACTGAAAAGCACCAAACATTAACTATCCACAATTCCTCTTATAGCAAATGTAAGTTTCTCCTTGAGGTTAATGCCTTTCACCCTAAAAATAATACAACACGCGTAGGCGTCGGTGCAATACTTGAAAGTTTCCTGAGACCTCGCATTTATTTCAGTGCCATTCTATTACCACTATGTCATTAGGTTTAATCATACGCCAACGTCACTTAATGTTCATTAATATCGTTTTGCATGATTTCAACCGTCAAACAAATACGATTTAAAAGTTCAACCAGTAATGACATTCTTAGAAGACTTTGCAATTTTGCATACTGTATTTATTTGCACGCTATATATAATATTTATATATATATATATATCTGAAAACTGATATATTTGGATAAAGCGATGTACCTATTTATTATATTTAAGTACACAATTTTAAACCGATTAAATTTAATAATACAATGAATGTTTTCACGGTACCTAACTTACATAGAAACATAACAAAAAAAATCGTCTCTCAGGGTCAAATAGTATAAGGTAAATTCGGCTGATAACTGAAAAAACCGTCATAACGTCTAAAATTTATTGTTAGCTAAAGAAATTACCTTTTTAACAAGGATCAATTTCAGCCAACCACATAAACTGTGTAAATTTTAGATATCTAGGTTTAATATATTGCGGGAAAAACCATCCTATCAAAATTAAAACCAATCAACCAATCAGCACCATTATTAATCAGTTTATGTAGACAATCGAATATACACATTGGTAAAAACGGTCATAGGAATTGCGTAGATGAAAACACATACAGTCTTACTCAAATGTTCACTTTTCTAAAATCAAGCATTACGGATTTCTACTTAGTATTAGGTTAATTTCGTTGGATGAAGCTCATACAAAGTAGGCATAGATGATTAAAAATTATTTTAATTGTAAAAAATTTAACAAATTTATTTTAAATGTTTTTAATTCATATTTTGTTTTATCTTGACAAATTCTTTCTTGTGAGCTTAGAATCAACTTTCTATCTCTTATAGATTAAGGACAAATTGAAAATAAAACGTTTATCACTGTCACAGTTCAAAACGTTTGCTACACATACACTGTCATTTCAGATCTGCCGGAATTGTTCCGTTCCCTTGATGTGTAGTGACTAGATATGTAGGTATATGATCAACCCTATCAACTTTCCCGCGGTTATAATATGTCCTTTGGTCCTTCGACATGTAAAAAATATTTCTTGCCATTCCAACTGATTTACAAACCGTGTACGCTGTTTTGTTTTGTAGTTCATCTCACGTGGTATTTTTTTTTGTATGTCGTTATAAATTATTATTTTACGTTTTACCTTATAAAAATTATAAAAACAAACAAAACAAAATTATATGCGCTATGGCTATCATTGCACAAGAAACATGAAGAAAATCTTAGAACATGGGTTAAGAAATGGATAGAACAGAGAAATATAAATAGTAAATATAGTATTTAAATAAATATATTATTTAAATAAATATAAATAACTCTTTTAAAACCTACAAGAAAACAATCCGGAAGATTTTAAAATTATTTCAGAATGGATGATACCGATTTTAATTCTTTACTAGGCAAGTAATTCATAAAATACCTTTATTAATATTTACCTCTATATGTTTACATAACTACAAGGCACACGAAATATGCGTCTAACTTATTTCTAAGTCGAGGTCACGGTGGATTAACCAATCGCAGCATTCCGCATTAGTTTGAAGTTTGAACCATCGAATTATTCTGTGTACATAATATAAACACAAACAGCTAGACATTGTGTATATTATATTATGTTCGTTTGAATTGATAATACAAACGACCTTACATTTGTGGTTAACTAACAAAATTATCCTAAACCAACACGTTTCTTATATATGTATTCTTGTTAGCGAATTTTCAATTATCCTATTGTGTTAAAACTTGAGAGTAAGTATATGGAATTATAGACCCACGGTTTACAATTACTTTAACTTTTGGCAATAAAATAAAATAAAATAAATATTAAAAGAAACGTGGTTGTACTAAAGTATAATTATTTTTTTAGAAAAACAATTAAGTATATTCAAAACGTTTTGTTTAAAATATATGTTTACCATGAAAAATTATTAAATAAATGTAAATAATTATAATTATTTGTATGGTTTTCTTTATTAATCTAACCAATTTTCTAACAAACAAATCAAAAACCGTCATTTTAGCCCCTATAGATAAAATCGTAAAATGTCCATCAAAATTTTTAAAATTGATATCAGTTCAATATATTAGGCCAACAAGTAACGTCTACAATAGTAATTATTTATAAAACTTTCAATATATTTCAGATACACATATCATTAAAAGCTATGTCACTAGAAAAACTATACCCGTGAAAAAGTTGACCTGATTGCTTCATGTCAAGTTGACATTAAATGACTTCTAGATAAAATTATACCAAATATTTCTCTAAATGAATACCTCTTTTAAGGTAATCATTATCAGCCAGTAGTTTATTTATTATTAGGCAGATGTCTATGGTTTCTCCAGTGTAAAGATTAAAACAATGGACTTGTAGGTTAGGTTAGGTAAGCGTACCATAGTATAATTCAGATAACTATTGCATACTTAATCATTTAAATGAAAAAAAAATATGAAATGAAAAAAATGTATGTGTAATTAGAGCATCTCGTCATGTAGAATTCGGTAAGAAGATAAAATCGCATATATCCGGCGAATGAAAGCACTTTAACTTATGTAGGTCAATTCCTACTGACGTTTCTTTAGGATGTACGCACTATAAATATAGTTGTAATCTCGATCCATCCAAACTGCTTGTACTTAAAATTATTGTACGCATTAAAGTCATACAGTTCTGTACAGTATGGATATCATTGATTAGAGCCGCTTCCAACATTGTTTTGCCCACAGTCTTCGGCAGCAATTAATTATTCCCCATAAATCTTAATTGCTCTGAGACTTCTAAGAGCGCGTTATCGCATGAGACCGAAACTAAATACAAATGGAGTAAAAAACGAGCAACTATTAGTCAGGTGTAAGTCATCCGTAAAATTTGTTGCTATCCATTTATGATATTGTATTTATCATAAGGAATAAAATAATGTACTTGTTCGATCCTTTGTCATCAACCAAATCATAATTTAATTAAAATATAATGTACCTAATACGTTGTTATTAAATTGGTTATAGTGATATACTTATTTAACATATTCCGAAAATGTTTTTTTTATGTTTACCAACCTATAATTTAAACATTTCTTTTGAAGCTACACAAACTAGATGCTAAAAAAGTGTACACGCCTGAAATAAACCCTAAAACGTCAATGGCCAAGAGCGAAAAAGTTATCTTACTGAACTGACTTCATGACACTTTCAAGTATTAGCGATGTTATAAAAAGTTATATTTAAACTAAGAATCGTATATACAAACCACAGTCGCTATCCAGTAACCATTATATTAACGAGCTAAGATAGTCGAAAACAATATAATGTTAATTAGAGGTGAATTTATACAATAAAAAAAAACAAATGGTTTGTTTTCCGTTGAAGAAAAAAAACATCATTCATTGGATTATGAATATGTCTTTTGATACCTATAAACATTGATTATAAACATTACTATTTATAATCAATTCTATAAGGTTCATTTCATGTTAATTTTCCTCAATCCTCAATAATTTCTTATTGGCTAATTATCTTATCAATAATGTCCTCTCTTCTCCTCTACTACTACTCTGCCTAAAACATACTCGAGTATTATGAAATAACATTACTTTAATACTTTTTCATTTTTAGGATAAATGACAAAACCAACTTGATTAATCGTTTTGACAAAATGAGAGGGATCCCGATTTTAAAATACAAAAACTAATTGGACTTATTTGCAGCTTAATTATTTACTTTAGCTAATATCAAAAAGAAAAATATTTATAATAGTAGTTAATGGGAGATAAAGACTTAAGACTAAATATATCTAACACATAAATCATAGGATAATCTTTTAATATTGCTGCACGAAGCTATACAGCTCAAGCTTGCACAGTGTGGTGGTCGGCTTAGACTGAGATAGATAATTGAATTAGGCCTCGCTTGATTTCAGATGTTATGAGTGTCTAGTTGACGGTACAAAAGCTTCTCATCCATGTTCATCGTCGAAGAGGCTATGAAACCTATAGCCACTGGTCGTCTCTAGTCAGCGATCGTTCATTAGTTTTTTTGTATACTCGAAGACCAAGAACAACACAGCCGAAGACGGGATGGTCCGAATCAACGTAGGCACCAGACCACTATAAATAGCAGCTAACCCTTCGTTACGGTACATTTGGAGTAATTGCGTTATCCACCCTCTGGTTGGCATCATATCGTCCAGCTGAATACGGGACTTGATCACATCTACGGGGAAGGTAACTGCCCATAGCATTACACCACCGACTCCACCAGCCAATGAGGTCACGGCCAAACCGCAATCTTCTCGCAATCCGCCGGCCGGCTTCAATGCCTCTCTGATGGCCTCGTACGTTCCAAAAAAACAGAAGTAACTGGGTAATTCCCGAGCCAATGTTATGGTTAGTCCACGGAATAAAGCCTGCATGCCGTTATTAGCCACAATTTCCTAAAAAAACAATAAAACTTAATCAACACGTTTAACTTAGTAGAAGTTTCCGGCACAGGACCAAAAAGTGTCTCGTATAATATACTATAATAGACTAAAATTAAGTTGAAAATTGAGGATATTAAAAAAAATTTAAAGAAAATCTGCTACAAGCCCATTCTAATTTTCGTATCAAAAATTATCGTCGCTATCATTCCTAGAAATGCTCCTATACACCTAAAGGACAAATGGTATCGTGACTTCTTAAATAAATGAATAAATAAATATCTTCTATATGTTTTACTGTTGTGTACTTGAACTTAAGTTATATAGTTACTCTTTTAAAACACACTTTGTTTGTTTACCTAAAATATGGATTACGGTTTTATTATGACTGTAAAGAGTGTAATATCGGACATGTTGATCAACATGTGTTGATCTACAGGTGATGATCAAGCCCGTTATGTCAAGCAGGCGTCCAAACTAGGCCTTCGGACATCTTTAAATTTTTATTTTTATTATAATCATATACTAGTTTGTCATTAGTCAAATTAATATTGGTGAATTACACCTACCACATTTTGAGCACAACAATTTTTAATTAACTACTAATTAAAATAATTTATTTTGAAAATGCATATTTGTAAGTTATAACTAATTCAAAATTAGCGATGGTGATCTTATCCTGAGACGGTAATGCCATCTACTAGTCTAAGTATTTTTGTTTAAAAACTAATTAATGAATCATCATCATCGTCATGTAGCCATCAAGGCCCAACGCTGTCAGCATGAGATGGTTTCTTGACGAAACAAATTGTCATGTTCATTTTTAAATATTTAAATATTTCATTCAATAGGCGGACACGTTGACCCGTATGATTTCATTTAGATCACGAGCGACGTATATTTATTTACCGACGTTTTTTTCACGGTTTAAGTATACACCCTAGTCCCGTTGTCAATTTGATATTTTGCTTGTTAGTATTTTATATTACAAAACAGACAGGCCAAATGAATCGGAAAAATAATCCGCATAAACAATGATGCTAAATCAAATATACCAAGCTGACGACAATTCCCCGTTGGCCTTAATAAAAAAATACAGTTTTCAATATATGTATATAAAATATATTATACACTTGTACTTACATATTATATTATGTGTGTCGGTCCAAAAGACATAAGCAAACGAAAAACTATAGCCAGAAAATTATTATCATTTATTGTTATATCGTAGTTGCGCCAAAAATACTTAAAATATTTAAAATCAAAATGGCTATTTTAAAGACGGTATAAAAATCAAAATATGTTTTCTATAGCTAATGACTAATTGAGTCCAAACCAACTTAGAAACATTGCACATATTTTAATATTCTTATAATATCATATAACATTATTGTTACCCTATTCATATAAATGTATTTAGGGATTCTTACACGTCATACACACTTGTATTTTTACAAAAAAATAATAATAATAATTAACATTCAGCGTTATAGATGAAAAACATAAACTAGAAAAAAAAATGACAAATACCCAAAGTATAATTCATAAGTCATAACTCATAACCAAGAGAAATCCTTTAAACGTTCTTCTAGTATGGTGTCTATAAACGAGCAAATCGTTTTGATTTAACAACCATTACAATTACCAAAACTAACTAAAACGCATTCATCATTACTATACTACTTATAGCAACAGCTTCTCTTTAAAGTGTATTTTGTATCTCTTTCTCTCTCTACTCTGATCTTCCTGATATCTTTCGCTAAATCATTGCCTTTCGTTTTTTTTTTCAACGGCTTAGGTTTAATTTTCTTAGACTAGTCCCTCTCAGTTTATCCACTATAAAAGCTACTACGGATTATTATGATGTCTCATCTTCCATTTCATCAAAGTAATGTCTAGCCAACATGAAGAGATATAATAAAATTGACCTATTTTACGAGCGTTGGACGTTCATAGTATCCAAAGAAATTCGGAAACATGGCGGACGCCAACTGCCTTTATAGCTTAACTTCTTAGATGAGGGCCGTAGTGAAGTTATCATAATAGTGTGACTTGAATCATGGTGTTACAATATTCTATAAAATTCTCTAAACTCTTAACTAGCACTCAAGGTTTAACAATACGAGTCCTATAACTCCACCATTGACATTCAACTAATACAATATAATATATAGGTCACTACGTGACTTATAGAAGTTACCTTCTAAAAACATTCTTTAAAATAATATTTTCAGCTTGATCGTCAACAAATTATTTTCCGACATTTAATATAGTTAGTATGCATTTTATTTGAAACCTTTTTTTAGTAAAAATACTATTTTAAAAAATACTGTTAAGACTTAAGAGGACACGCATACATATAAATATATTTTTATGTAAAAGACAATATATAGGTTTTAATCGAATTTTGGGGGCTGTATGTTGGCGGATTTCGATTTTTTTTTAAGTAACCAATTTATAGTTCATCAGCACGACCAACGTATTTCTATGTTTTATCTAATTTTTAATTTTCCCATCAGGTAAGTTCATACTCTCAACGTTCTCATCGAAAATGTTGATAATTAGGAGTTGAGTGTCTTCTTAATCAAAATGTTGCTAACATTTTATTGTATAATACAGGGTGATTCATTAAGATTATGTTACTCATTTTCACTTAAAATAATTTTACTTTTAGAGACACTTTATTTTATGTCATTTTACAATATTGAACAATTTTCAAACTGCTATTTTTTCCTAAAGCTCTATAAACTTTTAAAACTTAAAAAGTAAGGTAAATATTAAACTAACTTTTTAAATTAAGAATAATTTGCAGTAAATGTTGAACAGGTAACAAGTTTTGGATTATTAGTTTTAAAATTACTGAAATGCGCGCAGATAAAAATAATACTACACTCCACCCTTTGCGTCTTCCTAAATTTTTAACTTTAAAAGTAATTATCTAAGACTTGTTGTCGACCAGTCTAAATTATTTTTAGTTTAAAAAGTTAATGAAACGTATACATTGCCATTTGAGTTTTATAGCTGATAGAGCTCTGGCAAGTAGGTACTAAAAAAATATATATACTTTGTAATTTCGTAATATTTTTAAAATAGCATAAACAAAAAGGTTTTCAAAAAGAAAAACTACAAAGTTGTAATTATTTTAAGGAAAAATAGTGTCTTATCCTTAATGAATAACCCTGTATTTTATACATATAACTTTTGCGATTCTCTTGGGGTTGATCCTAAGTTTTATGTAATAATAAAATATGTCATGTGTCCGGAAGACATTGAAGAGGACGCCGATATGACAATAAGAAACTTGATAGGTATAATATGTACATGCCCACCGTCGGTAAATGTCGGTCAATACGGCACAAAAAAAAAATGATGTTTTATGGCATAATAAAAACATTTTTACGACCGATGCCGGAGCCTTTGAAACGTTTCTGGTATCCCAATTGACAACAATTCCAGGATATTTACAGTCGCCGTCGGACATAATTTAGACAGTAAGCTCAGCAGAGCTATTATAATCCACGTTCGTCCTATTATTATAAATAAATATTTATATAATCTTTAGCCGTTCCTAGAAAATGTGTTAGCACATAGACACACACACACACACGAGCGACGCGCATTCTCCTCGGCTGTAAAAAATATTATTCGGCCAATCGATCAAAAATATTGCCAAAAGCGGTTTGAGCATAGTACACAGTTTGCTAGTGCAAACAAAAAAAACTATATATCCACTCTCCAATCTTCGGGTAGGTATAACCCCTACAATGATAATAAAGTAAATTTTAAAAATAAAGTCATTTTCTAAACAACGGTGGTATCCAAAAATGTTTTGACAGGTATGCAATATAGTCAATAAATTGTATAAACATTTTATTTGAACATAACCTAAGAATATATAAATATAAATGCGCTCTTTTTTTTTCCTGTGAATTATATCAATGAAATACTTCAAAACTTTGAAAAATTAATCTAAAACGAGTTTCTATACTTTGACTACGGTCTTTAATGATTTTTACTAATTAGTAACAATAAATAATAACATCTTCATATAGTTAATCGAATTTAAAAGTTGAGATTATTCTTAATTGTATCTTCAAAAAAAAACTTGTGTTTTATAACTTGTTTTTTTACCTATTAAATTAGAAATTTTAAAAATTTGCTGCCATAAATTATTTATTAATACATTTTATGTATTAATGTAAATATAAATCACAGTTGATGGATGACAAACAAAATGTACAAACTAGTTAAGGCGCCACTTATAATATCTATTAAAAAAAAAATCAAAATTTCACTATACCTATTACTTTACGACTTGTAAAATGTTCAAAAAGAAAATACCAGGGTACAAAACAGTTATTGAACTATTTGATTAAAATTCTCGCCAAAACTGTTTCATAAAAGTTCTGATAATAGAAGTTCCTACTAGAACTTTTAGACATTTTCATGTCTTAGCTCTGGCACATAACCGAAAAAATTGTTATTTACTTTTAATAACGAAAAAAGTGTTACCAAAAAGCGTAACCAAAGAAGCGTTAGGACACGGAGATAGGGGGTGGGAGATAGAGGGTAGAAGATAAGTGTAAGAGATAAGAGATATGTTCTACGTTCAACGTTCAAATTAGAACCATAGACAAGTATACTAAACAGAACTAAACGATAAATTCAAAATAGTTTAAGGGCCCAAATTCTCTATAAATTGTTTAAGCCAGATATTAAACACTACAATATTAGCCAGAAACTTGATATTTTAATATACTAGCTTGTTACTGCTTCTTAATATACTATAGCATTATCTATAATTCCACCACTACTCTAAATTTATTCGGTACTTAAACGATACACGAAAATGCTCTTTCGTGGTTGCAGACTCGACTGAAAAACTTTTTAATTATAAGTTTTCGCATTTTCATATCAAGTTCACATATCCATACAGTTCCTCATATTAAAAACCGCTGAACTTTTCAATCCAACGTCTGCGCCGGTGAGCTTAAAATATTGGCTAATTTTTTGAAAATCAGTTGAATAAATGCATACATACATTTAAATGGGAATTTTATAATGGAAAATTGTATTATAAAAGGCTAAACATTTCTGTAGAGAGCTTATATAATAAAGAAATTCTACATAAAAGTACTGAAAACAACCTTTACTATAACAGTAACAGGTCTAACAAAAAAGTTGTTGCATAATCTATTTCAAAAAAGTATAAGTTAGAATAAGATCTTTTCCAAAACAAAAGTGCACAGTTAAAATAGCGGAACGCTGTAAAATACTTTAAAGAAAAAAAAATTCGCACGAAATATTTTAATACTTTTACAAAAATTCTTATTAGCATAACGGGAACTGCTGTTCGTAAATTCACTGCCTTGTTCATATGGGAAAAAATTGTTATTTTTCTAGTTTGGTGTTTTCGTGGGAAAATAAAACCATTTTTATAATATTTATAAAAATAAGCGACAGCGGCAAATTGTTTTTAGCGATAAAAGAGAGAAGTCGACCTCAACATGGCGCTCGTGGTCGAACATATTTCACTGTCTAAACGTTTCCTTGGCGAGCTGCTTTTTATTGTTATTTAAACGACGTCGGTTTTGAAAGTTAAGACGGAGGGTGGCAAAGCTGATTGCGGTAACCAAAATTTGACTTCCTGTCCCCGAGGGCGATGCAGATGTTCTGTCATACCGTTTATATGCTTCCCCCTGTGTCGCCGGCACGACATTATCTTCGACAAAAAAAAATCTTTACGGACATCCGCAGGACGCTTAACCACTGCATTTTCCGGACATGGTGTTTTTATATGTTTTACACGACGTTAACGATTGTTGAAATAAAATTTGACCACCGACATCGTGGCTAAGGGTCAAAAGTTTTGCGCTAAGTTGAAAATAATGTATAACAAAACGATACATTTCTTGGGAAAAATGCATAATAACATAAACTTCATTATCGCTTTATTAAACAAAAATCGGTTTACTCGATAAAACCCTATAAAATTCCAGCGGTCGTTGTGGGTTTTTTTTTCATTTTGAAACCAATAAAATTAATTTTATACAAAGCATTAGTCTTTTTTTCTAAATGGATAGGTAGACGAAATAATATTTGATCGAAGTCAAGGGTTGAAAATTCGTACTTCATAATATAATGTTCCATTAAGTTAATTTTGTATGAAAATGGTATTTTACAAATTCTACATAATATATAAAATGAATAATAAATTATTTTTTATTAATACCTAAAGGCTAAACCATATAATATTGTACAGTTAATTATGCAATCATTGCTAAACAGTACCATGAATAATTAATACAAGACCTAATTGTCAAACCACTATGAAGTATTTATACACAATATGTAATAGCTACCTATTTAACAATAATTTAGAAACATTTTATCTTTATGTTTATTTTAGGTTCGATAAAATAATAGCAGTAGCAGCATTTTTCGCTTATTAAATCGTACGTACAATATTAATATTTATCCAATTACATTTAAATTTTATAGTACATTAAATCCACGAAGAGTGGAAATATTATATAATATTTATGTTTCAACTTTCAGACGATTTGCTTAGGCTCTGTTTGTATAGTTCTAAACGTTATGAGAGTGTGAAAATATTTTCTTTCATATTTAATTTTTTAAATATTGTTATAATTAGTTGAAGTTTGTTAATTACTTTAAAAGGAATAATGATGTTAACATTACTAAAAAACCCGCATCGTTTACTTTGTAACTAGTGTTACCGCTCTGTACAGCCAATACCAGTAGCATATGGTAAGGCGTAGTCGCGGATAGAGCAGCAGTATGAGACTAATCAGACTCTTAATTCACTTTCTTACAAAGTTAATAAAATGTTAGTACCCGAGTCGTAATATCCTATATATAGACAAATTTTGCTTAAGTACCTAGTACTTAGCACAATGTTTTACTGATTTGTGTCATTGAACATGCAGTCAAGTACTCTAATACGGTAGAGGCGAAATACAATAGGGTCAGACTGTCGATGTTTTGAAGAAAGTATTAAGTAAATATGACTAAAAATAATAAAATCAAAACAATAAAAAATACTATTAAAATCAATAAGTAATCATAGTGAGTATTTATTTTAAAAAGGTTTTCTCAAACGAGAACAAATGTAAAAAAATGAAATATCAATATGGAATTCCGATAATTATTTTTTTTCATCTGCTTAGCGCTTAATTTTTTTTTTTCGTATTAAAGCTTACTAATTTGATATAATATTAGATATACATGTAGATTTTTAATTTTCATCTTATAAAATATACTTTTTCTAAAAGATATTTTATTATCTACAGTCTTGGGATATTATATTTTATAGAGTTTCATAGCTATGAATATAATACCTGTGTAAAAAAAAAACAATTAATAGGTAAGAAGTTATCGCTGGCCTGGAGCCTGAACACATTTGTGTGTGAGAAACAAATCATTTTATTCTATGCCGTGCCAAAATTACGACACTGTCGCTTTACCTTTGTCACTCGGTACACGCTTCCTTTGAACTTTTCACCCCTGGACTCAGCTAGCTCGCGGCCCGCTTGTAGTTTGATCTTGACCAGCTCGGTGGGACAAAGGACGACGGACGAGAAAAACGACGCAGCGCAACCGGCCGTGGCGTTGGACAGCACGTCCAGTTGTCTAGCGTCCCTAACGCCTGTGACCGCGGCCACCGTCCGCTGACACAGTCCGTAGCACAGGAACAGCACGGAATTTTCAGACACGCCGGCCACCATGGCGGGATACGTGCCGGCGTACAGGCCACGCGCGCCCGCCACGCGGTACGTGTGCAAAAGACATTGCATGGGGCCCCGGTAAAGACCCCGGAACGTTTGCAGTTTGGTCTTGACCGTATCCAGCGGCTGTCCGATAAGCACCAGGGCGACGCCACCCAGCGATCCGGCCGCGAAGTCGACCGCACTCTCTTTCGCCCCGCTAACTCGCACGTCCCTGATGCTGAAACAACCATCGGCGAAACTCCCGAAACTGCTGATACGTTCAAACCCGCCATCGTGATCTTCACTACCATCCATTGTACAACAGCACTTATTTTAATCTGCGCGTAGCGTTAAGGTTGTCCCAACGTTACTTCGACAATAACTATTATAGGTACGGTCACGCGCGCTGGGCGTGCGATAAAAACTGTTTATTTGCTTTAGATCCGTTTCGCAGCCGTCACGCTCACAAAGCATCGACAACGACATTTCATTAGATTAGATAATATCAAAAAATAAAACATCACATCACTTCAATATTATACCGATATTATTATTTTTAAAACGTAAACATAATTGTTTGTACGCCGATTATAAAACTAGAACTCAGTAATACACGGTAACACATATAGGTACTTATCTTGGAAATCTTATTCTTGAGAAATATTATTTTATCAATTTATTGTATCCTTGAAAAAATGCAAGAATATTTTTTTAACGGAGGGGAATTAATTTATATTTTTCTTAATTATGTTTTTATTTACATACTAAGTGAGATGTTCTACCGTCTACACACAAAACACATTAAACTTTAATTGATTAAATTAAAAACCCGTGCATGTAAGAACTTTACCCTCGACTTTATCCAAATGTTAAATGTATTAAGTTTATACAAATCAATACAATATTGTCGCTACATATAATTTTTTAGTTTATAGACGAAGCTGAAATGGTTGATTTTGATGTTTCTTTTTGTGTGTGACAACGCAAAACTTTTTTTCTTTTAAACCGGTTTATACGAGTAGCACTTCATCGATCCGAAATCATATGCGAATAAAAGTGGGTCAACATTTGTGAAATTCAACTTCTTTACCCACTATGAAGGCAGTCTATGGTATAAGAGCTTAAAATTTGGTTATTTGGTCGATTATATCATGACCGCTCATAACGTTTTAACCATATTTTTTAAAGAATAGTTATTCTTGTACTTAACTAAACATTTTTGAAGTTAAAATTAATAAAAATAATGCATAATCTACTTTATCTACTAATTAGCATTACATGTTTTCATGATATTGTTTAGTTTTATTTAGAAAAATTATGGTTGCTTATGAATAAAGGTTATTATACCTGATATGCTCGCCAAATATAAACATTAATCTTATTACATTATGACGCGAAACTTATTTGTTATTATTACTCAATAGTCAAAAGTCAACAATTAAAAACAATTGCGTTTAATGATTAAAAAATTAAATTAAATAGTATTATATAATAATAATAGTATATACCTAGGTATAAAGTATATATATTTTATAATAATAATATTATATAATTTAAAAGTTACTACATCGAGTAAATTTAATAAGGAAATCGAGATTCCTATCTAAACAATCAGCTTAAAGATTACTAGTTGAAGCCATTGTTATAAAACAGATATTTTAGTTACGAGTAATTTCATATTTAGAGAATATTTGATATTACAGATATTCTAAAGGGATAATTTAAATCGTTTTAGTCTCGATGTAAAGCTAAAAAATGTCACCCCTTCCCTTCAAAATCGAGAAAAACAGCCAACAAATTTACATATTTTTCAACTGATTAAAATTGCGTCGTGTTTTACCATTAACATATTCCGATCGAAGTATTTATTTGAAAGCAATTTTATCATTTTCAGTTGTACCTAATAATTCCAGATGACCTATGAGCTATCCGAACCCAATATGCTTCAACCCTACTAAGCTGGTTTTTGTCATAATTTTATAATAATGTTATTATTATTATTTTAATATTTGATGAATAAAAACGTACAATTATCATTGCTAGGATTATAAGTCATAACCTAACCTCATGATATCGTGTGCAATGTAATTAATAAACTCTACATAGTGTTGCATGCAGAGGCATACAACAATTTTTTAATTTTATAATATTATTATTTTCCTTATAAGAAAAATTCAAGGGCTTTCATGCGGCTGAACGATTGCTCTTCTAGTCGATCACGTGTTAAGTCAGGCTGGTAGATAATGATAGTTTTTTCCCTAGTCAGTGCATCTAGAAGTACCTCCACTCGACTATAGTGGTTTTGTAAATAATTAAACTATGCATTCTTATTAATAGTTCGTTATTGATAATAATAATAACAAATTATTAAAGCTTTCAAAGACAAAGGATTGCGATTAAAATACAATGTAGTAAACAACAGAATAACCACACGTTGCCCTATAATTCTTTATAATTCTTTACACAACAAACGTGAATCTACAGTACATAATATAATCTATTTTTTAAGTATTGTTTTTTATATATTATAAGCCTGGTAATCTCTCGTAAATCTTTTTATAAACTCGGTTGGTATCGTGGGTAAAATAAAGATTATAAACTGTACCTATTATTAACTGTAATTTGTATTTTTTTTATTGTTTTAGTATTTATTTCGACCGAATGTACTTGGGTTTTTTTTTTACTACCAAATCCCCTAAACATACTAACTATAATATAGCAATTAAAAAAGTAAAAAAAAATACATTTACAATTAACTTAAGAACCTGGCATTTTTTAACATAACGACTATTGTTTATGTTCGTTTTAGAACAATCATATGTCCGTATAGTAATATTCATTTCGACGACGGTTATAACCACCTAAAACTCTTAAAAACACAACCAAATAATGTTCAAATCAATTATTTTTAACTACAAAAAGAAACCCCGAAAACTAGTAGCAATAATTAAAAAACTTGTCCAATAGTATATAAAATAATCATAGGCGGAAATCGGAGGGGGGGCTTGAATTTATAGGTCTTAGATCTCCTACTCGACGGTTTCTTACTTAAATGTCTAATAATTGTCATAAACATAATATTCTAAAAATTATTTTAAAACATTTTACCTTTTGTAAAATGTTTTAGATTTAAAATGCAATATAAATAAAAACAGTTTGTGGTAAAAATAAAATATAGTGTAATATGATTTTATAAATTGTTATGATCGGATAACTTGGGTTGATCATAATTATTATTGTTAAGGTGCAGCGTTTGTTTAATACTATATTGGTATTGTTTGAATTGGTTTCTCCAACACGACTATTATCATACCCGCAACCGCTGTTGCGCTATAGCCTGTACCAGTGATTTAATAATAATATACAGAAACTATAGTATACCAGTCATTAATTGCGATTTATTAGGAAATTTTCTATTTGTATTTTGTATAGGTAAAATGAGCAACTCAGCATATGAATATAATACAATTTTATCACTATCAACTCACTTTTTATTTATTATTTATTATTATTTTTTATGTGAAACATCTAATAGCGCGGTACGGAAGTGCTGAGTGAGATTGACTCTTGACAACGACAGAAAAAAAAGATGCGGGTTACAAAATATTATAATTAAACATTAGGAAATATGCTATAATGGGACGTACATAACTTTCCTTATATCATTTTTTTATATCTTAAAATTTGATTAAATATAAAGTATTTTTATAGGTAAAAATAACTAGGTGATCTCTCAACTTTAATTAAAGTACCAAAAATAAAGTTAAAAATTAAAACTGGGTGTTTTTACATACTACAGTACTTAGTTAATAACTACTAAAAAAATTAGATCTGTAAGACCATTTTGAAAATCCATTTTCGATCGCCTTTTTCGGATTCTAGACCACTGTGCGACGTCGACGGCAGCGTTCAGATGTTATCACACGGCAGCGCGAGTAACTTTTATAAATTAAATAATATATTTTAGAGTATTAAAAACTTAACATAGAACGTAAGTACACAAAAATGTGGAAAAAATTAGCGTGTTGTTTTCTACGTTGAGAGATCAAACGAAGCGTATACATTATATGTAAATAAAAATTCACCAAAATGTCGAAAAATGTAGGATGTAAGTACGGAACGCATGCCTTATAACCGTCACGCGCGGCAGGCTGAGAAGAAAAAAAAGAGTTAAACCATATTATGTTCCAAATAAAATAGGACAAAACATTAATTATTTGTTTTTCTTCGAAAACAGACTCAAATATAAGCTACTGAATAAAATTTAAAAAACCAAAACATAAACTTTGTTACCTCAAGAAGCCAGCAAGCAAGCATATTTTTTTTCTAACGAATTTTATTTAGACAGAAATATGGTACGCTCCGAAATACTGACGAAAATTGTTTTGGGCTTGGCGTTGTTTTTTTGCCAATCAGCACAATCATTGGAAACTGGCTACGAATATCCCGGTAACATCAGTGTTCAAAAAGATATTTTCTATGATGATTTGAAATGCACATTCCATACCTATTCGGCGGATTGACACACATGCTGATAACGAAAAATGTATCTAGTACCCCCTTTTTTTTGCGTATAAGAACGACGGTCAGTCAAATAGTTAACTACAGTCGTATCTTAAAATACGAGATAGATTCACTGTACCGCTTAAAAATAATGAGTATAACAAGGTTTGTACGAAAATTCATTGAAAGGAAGACAGACTGAAAGTCATAGTCAGTCATATGGCATGGGATGGAAGAGGAAGTGCGGTTGGGAAAGTCGCGCAGATAAAAATAATACTACACTCCACCTTTCCTCCTGCCCTAAACTTAAAACTTCAATAACTTCAGAAATAATTATCCGAAACTGGTTATGGACCCGTCAAAATGTTTATTACATTATTCTCGGTTTAAAAAATTAATAAAATATTTACGTTACCATTTAAGTTTCAAAAGTTGCTATCAAAAAAACTAAGTTGGGAGGGGGTAAAAACAAAAAAAGTTGTGAAAATTGAGATCACATTATATAAAAACAATATGAAAAACAAAAATGTAATTTCTTATTAAACCCTATGAGATATTGAGTGGTTCACGACAAGTGGATCGCCCTGTATGTATATATATATATATTTTTTTTTTTAATGTCTATAATACAAAGGGAGATAATTTTCCCACTATTTTAAGTAATGTTTGCAATGGGAGGGAGGTCTTCAAAAAGTTAATTACAAGTTTAAGTTTATTAAAAGTTAAATCATTGACAATTTCGTCTTATCAATTTGATATATTTCAGGCTTCAGCTTCGATGCAGAGCTAAAAAGGCTAATAATTACAATGATGAGTTTTTTTTTTGTATCTATAAACAAGATAACTTTTTAAAAAATTTGCCGGTTTTTCAACTTTCAAATTTATCATGCATAACTTCCGGTCAATTCAAAATTTGTATAGAA